TTAATAACTACTGTAATTTCAAAGTATGATGAATGAGTGTAATCAATATTTTGAAATATCTGCAGAATTCTAATATGACATAAAAATATCCGTGATTTCCATTGATAACAAAGAAACCGTTACTTCTAATATTACTGTATGTTCGTAATTGAAGGAAATGCTAAATTCCAGTTTGAGGTTAGTGAAAATAACAATGAGTGTTTTCCACATCCAAGTTCATGTACATACTCTTTGGGCACCTGTAAACCCCAGGTTAAGAAGCTTAGACCAACCATGCTGAGGAAATGACAGCTCTATAAATGATGTGGAAGCAGTTTGCTATTCAAGCATTTTTTCTGTGCACCAGCTCTGATGACTGAGTGGTTCTAGAACCCCAGGGAAGGGGGAAGGTAGTGAGTTCTCTCCTGAGAATTGTCTTTGCCTGAGTCCTTTTTCCTTCATCCCTTCAGCAAAGCTGCTTCATTTTGAGCCCTCGGTGCAGAACCAGCTCACCTCGGCAATTCCCTTTTGATTTGCATGTGCAAGTAAGGACACCAAGAGACATGACAAACTGTGTGGGTGCCAGGCATGGGAGGAAGAGAGAAAAGAAGCCTAAATTCTTCCAAAGGGAGCTTGTGGGGAGGAGGGATGAAAGCAACGTCAACCCTACATTATTGACTATCTGTCCAGATTTGAAAACAGCATCAAAGATGTTCAGGGAAATTTGGTAGTGTTATTTAGACAGATACAATGTAACATCTACCCAAGAAGTTGCTAAAGGAATTTGACTTTCTAAGGAAGGGAGGGTGAGCTACTATATAGCCAAGGTAATATAGGAGTATTTCCAAGAGGTTAAACATTTCTGGTAACATTTTAAATTTTTATTTCTAATTTTATTTAATTATCATCCAATGTGGTGTATCTTTGTTACCCAAAACATAAGAGAGTCTCTTTGGGAGATGTAAAGTTCGGAGGGGTGTGTGTGTGTGTGTGTGTGTATTTGTATTATATTATGTAAAGTATATTTTGTTATTCAACTTTTTACTTACCTGTCTACTAGATTTGTTCAATTCTAAAAGAGGTATATTGAAACCTCTTACTATAATTGCATTTTTTCAAAGTTTTCCTACATCTGTAATAGTTTTTGTTTAAGGGCTATGTTGTTGTATGCATAATGTTTTATGGTTGTTATAGCTTTCCCATAAATTGTGCCTTTCCTCATTACATCATGTATGTTCTTACCCACTGACCTTAAAGTGTACTTCGTCTAATATTCCCCTCATCATTCCTCCTTTCCTTTTGTTTGCATTTGATTGCTATGGTCACTCATTGGTCATTCTCTATTTACCACATTGTGTTAAATGCTTTTCTGTTAAACAGCATATAGCTGGTTTTCTTCCTTTCTCTTCCTCCTCCTTTTTTCTTTTTCTTTTCTTTTTCACCCGCTCAGCTACTCTGACTGTTACTGGGAGAATGAAGTTCATTCTCACTTGGCCTAATGATTGATGCATTTGACTTTATTTCTTCCATCTTTTTGTTTATTATTTATTTCACTTTGTGGTTTCCTCTTACTTTTACCTTCAGTTTTCCAGTTGGATTAAGTTACTGTTTTTCACCTTTTTAATTTGAAAGTTACTCTTTACTTTTCCTAAATTTTTTCAATCTCTTCTTATTTCTCTATTATTTGAAAATAAAATTCCAATTATTCTCCCACCAAAACCGTCTATGTCCCCCAACTCCCTCTGTGAGATGCAACTTTTAGAGCTTTCTTTTCTCCCTTCCCCCTCCCACTAGGATGAACGCATTGAAATGTTTAGCCTATCTCCACCAATTCCCAACTTGTAGATTTTGCTGAAATACTTTAGTGCTTTTGTTCTAGGATATGATTAGATTTTTCTTTGCATTATGTCCTTTTTATTTTAGGAATCCTTATTTCACACTTATATTTCACATTCTCAGTCCATGTAACCATGTGTATACTCTAGTTCATGCTCGTTTTCTTCCCCTTTGCCTAGTCTCCGTTCTGATGCATTTGCTGTTTGGATAGTTCTTTTGTAAGTACAGTCATCCCTCAGTATCCGTGGAGGGATTGGTTCCAGGACACCACCCCCCGTACCAAAATCCGCGGATGCTCAAGTCCATGATAAAAAATGGTGTCCTATTTGCAGACAGCCTACATACATCCTCCTCTGTACTTTAAATCATCTCTAGATTACTTATAATACCTAATACAATGTAAATGCTATGTAAATACTTGTTATATACTATTCTATTATTTTTTATTTTTGTATTTTTAAAAATTTTTTAATGGTTTTCAAATATCTTCAATATGCCGTTGGTTGAATCTGCAGATGCAGAACTTGCAGATACTGAGAGCCAACTGTAATTTTTTCAAATGAGATATTTGGATGAAATATCCTCTGAACCCTTGCATTTCTTAGAGACTGTTCTTTCATCCTGAGAAGTAAGGGATAGCTTGTTGGTGTATAGGATTTGTGGGGTGAAGTCCTTTTTTTCTGTAGTCCGTAGGGGTTCTTCCACTGTCATTTGGTTTCCAGTGTTGCAGATGAGAAGACCGAAGCCGCCTTTATCCTTTTGGGGGGTAACTTGTTCTTTCCATCCGGGAGATTCCAGACTGTTTTCTTTAGACTTGGCGATCTGGCACTTTTCAGAGTGGCCAGGCATGAGTGTTTTCTCATTGATCTATCCTGAGATTCAGGATACTCCTCCTGTTTAAAAACATAAGTCTTTCTTCTATTATTTGTTCAATTATTTCCTCTTCTCGAGCTGTTCCTTTTTCTCTCTCTGGGATGATTTTCACATCTTCTTTAGTCTGACTCTATTCTTCAATGTCTCTTTTCTTTTCCTTTATAATTTCCATCTATGATATGTATTTTTGCTTTGCCCTCTGAGATTGTTTTTCAACTTGGTTTTTCCTAATACTGTTTGGTTTGCTGAATTGACCACCTACCCTTCCATTTACTTGCTGACACTTTAAATTTTTTTAGTTCAATGATCATATTTGTATATCAGAATTTTTCACGAGTGCTTCATAAGTGTTCTTCACAAGTGTTCTTTTATGTTCTTCTTAAGTGCTCTTTTATGTTCTGTCCAAATGGATGCCCCCAACACAAGTTCTGCCAATTTTCTTCTCTGTCTACAGCACCCCCTTGGATGTGTTATTTTTCATACTCGGCCCATTTTGGCTCAGGTGTGGCTGTGGGGGAATCCCGTCAATGATGGGTCAGTGGTGTGCAGCAGGCAGGCTGCCCACCCCAGTCTCTTTCACTCTCCTGGCCCTTGGCCTATCTGTTCTGCTCCATCTGGGCTTATTGGGGGGTGGGAGGGAAGGAAGGGTGGGAATCTGTGACTCTCTGTAGAATGAGCTCTTCCCAGGATCCAAAGCTCTCTCAACTTTGCTCTAGAGATCTTCAGCCTCTTTTTCTAGCCTCTGCTAGATTTTCCAGGAATCTAATAAGTCTCAAACCTCCCCTGCCGCAGCCTGTAAGCTGCTGGGCTCTGAACGGGCAGGTAGATTTGATTTGGGAATGGAGAGGACATGAAAAACATTTAGGGCAGGTCTTCCCAGATTCCATCTCTAAGCTATTACTACTTTATATTTATAAAAGTGAAACACAATCATTATAAAAATAAAATAAACAGGACAGACTTGTACAAAGTAAATATTAAATAGTATTAATAAAAGAATCTATTGTTTCCATTCATCAGTGGTAGCCATTATAGACTGGTGGATCTTTCAAATATTTTCTATGTACTTACACATATAAATTTTTAAAAATACAGTAGGATCACACTATATACACTGTTTTGCAATTTGTTTTTTTCCCTCTTAATATAATAAGGTTTTTTAAAAATGTAAATTCATATAGGCTTCCCACATTTCTTTTAATGATCATGTGGTTTTTAACTGTGAAAATATCAAGATATGTTTAATGAATATTTGTTATATGCAGTTTTCGCTACTATAAACAATGATGCTTTGAAAATGTTTGCATACATCTAAGTGACCAGATTACTAGATATGGAATATGTGGGTAAAAGGAAATATGCATTTTACATTTTAATAACTTCTGCCAAATTTCTTTCCAAAAGGGTTAAGCTTATTACTCTCCCATCTAAGGAATATGAGAGTTGCTGTTTCTCATACTCTGACTCTGTATTATCAATTTTTTAGTTTTTATTAGTCTGAAAAATAAAGTTAGTATCCTACTATTGCTTTAATTTGAAATTTTTAAATTATGAGTGAAGTGGTGCTTTTTTTCATACACTTATTGTCTGATTATATTTTTCTCCTGTGAATTGCTTTTCGTGTTGTTTTCTTTTTTCCCCATTGGATTGTTAGTCTTTTTCTTGATTTGCAGTTATTTCTTTCTAACTTGAGGAAGTTAGTTTCATGTCTTTCATTTGTGTTGCAAAAATGTTTCCAAGTGCATGATCTGTCCTTAGCTTTTCATGGTGGTTTTTGCAATACTGATATTTTTAATCCTGTGTTGTTTTAATTAACCTTTTAACCTTTTTTTTCAGGTTTCATGTCTTGCCTAAAAGATCTTCCTTACTTTAAGATGATAGCTATACAAATAATTAACTAATGGTTTCTTCTTGTACTTTCAAGGTTTCATCTTTTGCATGTAAATCTTTGATCCACCTGAAATTTATTTTGGCGTAAGGCGTGGAGAAGGGATCCAACCTAACTTGTTAAATTTTTTCTATATGGCTACTAGTTAATCCAATATCATGATTAGAGTCCATCTTTTCTGATTGATCTGAAATGCCACTTTTATCATAGATTGAGTTTCCTTGTGGTTGAATCTTTTGTTGAACGATTTAAGGTCTATTCAAAGGGAAAGCCTTGTGAGTGAGCGTTTTCAGAGTTTAACTCAGGAGTGAAGAGCACCCTGTGCCCCGGGAAATGTCCAGGAGAGTGAAATTGGAACTTTCTCCCTTGCCTTTACGTGGGTGTCCTTCCATGCTCATCTGCCTTCGTGTTACTGGTGTTACAGATATCCGAGAAATATGGGCTGCCCGTGGAGAAGATAGCAAAGCTTTACAAGAAAAGCAAAAAAGGGTAAGACAGAAACCGAGCTTAAATTGACTTCTAAGTCAGATTAAGTCTATGTGATGCCTTTAAAAAAAAAAAAGATACTGTGTTTTGTTAATTCTGTTGTGTACCTTTCATAAAAATTGTGTGTTGTCCTTTCAAAGGATTGCAGAGGAGCTTGCAAATGCAAAGCATTTTGAAGATCTTTAATGAGAGAGGGAGGGAGGATGACAGCACATTGTCATGATGTCAGCTGAGATGCCTATTCCAGTGACAGGATAAGCAGGTGGACCAGAGGGGTCTGGAGTTGGCGAGGACACTGGGGAGAATGGCAAAGTCACCCCTCTTAGAGAGCGGCATTTATAGGGAATCAACTTGCAGCCCTAGGGGTTGGTGTCAGGGTGGCATAGTAGGAAGAAAAAATGGTTCAGGACATAGGGAATTCTTCCAAGCTAATTAACAAAATGTTCTTAAATGATCATTGGACCTGCTTGTTCTCATTGGTAAGAACAATCGCTGTTATTTATTGGGTGTTCAGTGGGTTCTGGGTCCCCTGCTAAGTGTGTTACACCTTTCCTCTATTTACTCCTCACTGCTCTATGAGGTAGAATCTGTTATTATTGCGAATTTACTGATGAGGAAACTAAGCCAGATGGAGCTTAAACATCTTGCCCAAGGTGTCACGTTCAGCAAGTAGGGCACAGATTTGAGGTCTATGTCCTCAAAGCTCAAGTGCTTAGCTCCCACTTTCTGCTATCTACCACCCTCTATAGGCTTCTTGCCTGTGAGAGTCTAAGAGCAGTGGCCACACAGGAGCTGGATTTGGTGCCAGGAGAGGGTCTTCATTGACTCAGCTTCTGGAGCTATTTTTCTACAAAAAGTAGACAATGGGTCTTTAAACTCTTCTCTCTGGACCATTTTCATAAAGAATATTTATTGCCTGGGATGCTCAGGCTTTCTGAGTGGTGGGGCCTCTTGGTTGTCTCTGGGTCGAGGGGGATACCCTTTCCACCTGAGCCCTTTTGGAAAGCTCACTAAAATGCATATAGCACTTCTTTCCAAGGTCAATGTAATAGGCTAAGCGCATTATTCCTTTGACGATGAGATTTGAGTGGTGTCTCAAGGTCACTGCCAAGCAGAAATCCTTAGTGCAGATGCACATGCTGATGATAGCATTTTGCTTTCATTGAGCTCTGTGTCAGGTCCTATGCTAAATGCTTTTATCTTAACAACATCCCTCTAAAGCTGGGTGGTAGTACTTATTTATGCAAAAGAGCAAACTAAGGCTCTGAAAGGCTAAGCAACTTTCCCGTTGACACATATCTGTGAAATGGTAGAGTCAGTTCTTCATTCTCAAACTAAGATCTGTCTGACTTCAAAGAATGGAATTGGCTCAAGGACTTCAGACCATGGGCAGACTCCGGAAGCTGTAGGTTTTCTCAAAACTCAACCCACCAGAAATAGTTAGCCAAGGAGTAGGTCATAGGTGGCAAAGCATGAGCTTCAGAGTGAGGCCAACCCACTTTTGAATCCAAGCTCAGCCGTGCATTAGCCAAATGAACTTGGGGAAATGATTTAACCTTGCTGAGTTCCTTTCTCTCATTCGCAAAACGGTGATGAAGACACCTCCCTTCAAGGTTGCCATGAGGACTAAATACAAGGTCTCTGAAACACTGGCACATATTATATGCTCAGTAAAGGGTAGCCGCAATTCTTGTTTAGTTTCTTCTTCCTCTTAAGAGCAGAGGCAATGTGTTTTTTATTAATGCATTTTCAGGAGGCAATATGGTTTAATGAAAATAGGGGGCCTATTTAGGTCCTGGCTCTGTCAATAGCTAATTTGTTATCTTGGGCTTCCTAACTTCTCTGGGCCTTAGTTTACTAATCTATAAAGCAAGAGGGTTGGGTTGAATGTTAGTTCTGAGAAATTGAGGCTTTGTTTTTCTCAAACTAGTTTTTGGGGAAAGAAAATAGAATGAGGGTCTTTCCCTACCCTTGTGTCCTCTCCCCTCCATGCCCCTCCAGCCCCCGTTTCAGAAGAATAGCTAAGAGAACTCCTCACCCGGAGCCTCCCTTGCACAGGGCACACTGCTCACCACATCTTTCTTTCTACCCTCCCCACCCCCACCTGTGGCAGCATTTTGGTGAACATGGATGACAACATCATCGAGCACTACTCGAATGAGGACACCTTCATCCTCAACATGGAGAGCATGGTGGAAGGCTTCAAGATCACGCTCATGGAAATCTGAGCCCAGGGTTGGCACCCCCTTGGCAGGAGCTTGCAGTGCATTCCTCCCTGGGAGAGACAGAGGCCCCAGACCCCGGAAACCCATCTCACCCCTCTCACGACTGCTGTTACAAGACTGCACAGGCCCCACTGACCGCCAGTGTGCTTGGCCCATCCACCAGCTCCTACCATGGACCTGAAGCCTGAGCCCCTCGGGAAGATGCCTTGGGCCTGGCGGATTCTTATTTATTGCCCACCTTTTTCTAGAGCCCGGGGTCCAGGCCAGCCAGGACTCTGCAAGTCACTGCTGGCTCCAAGTGAGACCGTCCAGAGTTCTCCCTTCAGGAGAAACACTCCTCCCGAAGAGCCTGAAACATTCTCATCCCTTTTTCTCACCTCTCCACGTTCCCTGAGTGGCTGGACAAGATGAGCTACTTTCCTGTGCATTAGTCACAGGTGGGGTAAGAGGTGGACGCCCCCTACTGGTCAAAACCTTCAGGCTGCTCTGGAGAAGGTTGTCTTGCTAAATACCTCCAGGGGTTCCCAGCGAGTGGCCACCAGGCCTTGAACAGGAAGACATTCAGCTACCATGTAATTAGTAACTAACACAGGACGTATGCCCGACTCGCATGTACATAGTGTTTATAATATTGCAATAATATATTTCACCTGTGGTTCGGGGGCATGTTTACTGCCCCTGGCCTAGGGGAGGCACATACCGGGAGACTCCATTTTCTACAAGGGGTTTCGGCCTCTGTGCCTGTTCAGGAGACATGCTGCACAAGGGAAGGGCCTCTGGGGTGTCAGATGGCTGCAACGGGTACCAAGATGGACTGACTCTCCAGCGGGTATGCCTGGGGACGCGTCCCCTGTCCCCAGAGGAAGCCTCCTTTCCCTCTCCATGGGCACGACTCTCCCCAAGGCCGCCACATTCGTATCGTGATGATTTGCTTTGCTCGATTCTTCCTTTGAGCTGTCGCGTGGGAAAGGTCATGTTGTCTAGGCCCCGCTCCTTCTCAGCTTGGGTATCAGGCCCCGCCTGAGCTTTCTAGAGAGCCTCTGTAGGGCTTCTGTCATCAGGCGCTGTCGCTGGGGCCTGCTGCGGGGCTCCTTGGCTACCGTGAGGACCCTGGGCACTGTGTAGCGCCTCGCAGTTTACAAACATGTCTTTCCTCTCAAGTGGCCCTTTACACACCCAACCGCGGTTCTGAGAGCCGTTCCAACAGCACAGCTCTGGACGGGCAGGCCACGGCTTCCTCCTGGGCCTCAAGACCGACAGGGAGGATTATCTGCCTGGCTTCCGGGCGCTGGGCTTTCAGGAAGAGAGTGAGTGAGAACGCGCCATGAGCCCTGGCTCCTCGGAATCCTGCCTCACACAGGAGAAAGGGCGAGGGAAGGCTGCGTCCTCCTGCTCCGTGCCCTGGGAGATGAAGAGGAGGAAAACACCCCCCTAAACAATCACAGATGATGAACTGTGTAGGCCATGTTCTCTCTAAGGGGACAGGTAGGTGGTTTAGGGGTCTGCATTCACCCTTGCGGGCTGAAGCACTAGCTTTTCGGTAGCCAGACACATCCTACACCCAAGGCCCCAGATCTAGGGCAGGTTCCACGTAAAGGTCCAGATTTGTTTGTAAAGCACTTTGTCATCTCACCTGGAGGCCCTTCTCTCAGGGCTCCCTGTGCTCCCCGCTGTTTGCCCCTGAGGTCCAGGGCAGGACGGAGGGGCTGCTTCTAGCTTAGCTGTTTCCCCTTGAGGCTGCGGAGGAATTGGATGGAACAGAGAGCAGGTGTCGTGCCCAAGAAGATCCCTGCATGGTGGTAAGGGGGCGCCCTCCTGTGTGTCCTCTGTGGTACCCCTTCCCACGGTGCCAAAGGTTTGCATCCCGTATTCAGCTCTGCTCCAGGCTGTCACCTCCTCTGCGCCGACAGCCATACCCTGGGCCACCCTGGGTACTAATGGGGCTGTGTTCTAAGATGGACAAGTTCAGTGTTGGAAATACGTATGTACTATGCACTTCCCACACTCCTTGGGTTAGGAATAGTTTCAAACATGATTGGCAGATGTAGCAACAAATACTACTGGGCTGGGGCCTAGGACTCCAGAGTAGGGAAAAGAAAATTTTTGGCAGCCTGACACAGGCTATCTACCCTTCTCTCTCCAGCCTCTTTGGAAAACTGTTTGTTGGTCCTGCCCCAAGGCAGAAGATGAAGCAGAGATGCTTTTGCATTTGTCCTAAGTCCCCGAGCAATCACTGTGGCGACGGTTGCCAGAACAAAGGATATGAGGCAAGTGCCACCGAAGGGTGGTGCAGAGTGCCACGTCCCTTCTGAGCTGTTCCCCTCTGCATTCCCGGAGCGCCCTTGGCTTAGCTTTGAGGTGTCCTGCGCTGTGTACTAGCAGAACTTTGAGGAGCAAAATTTCCTGAGCAAAAACACTCCAGGAAGATTGGAGAACTTGCCTCCTCTTCCTTTTTGTCCCTTAACTTAATCACATTCAAATAAATAAGCTTTTTCTTTTTTTAAATCCATGGGAGATGGGGGACATGTGAAGCAAGTGTTTTTCTTACATATCTCCAAATTATTCAGACTTTACAGGTGTTTGGAAATTGGGACCAACAGAAAATTGCAGTCAGATGTCTTCTTGGAATTGGTTCCCAAAAGACTAAGGCATGTCCCAGCCCAGAAACTTGGGAAGCATGAAATGAATCAAACATTTATTTTCCTTCTTATTTAAAATCATGAAAATGTAACAGAAATAGAGGGTTTGTGCCAAATTCTATGAACAGCCCTTTCTTAAAGACAAGCAAGGGAGATTGATATATGCACAATTTGCTCTCATGTTAAAAAAAAGGTAAATGTAACTTAATAGTTTTGTAAATGGGAGATGGGGAATCTATAAACTATAAATACAGTTATTTTATTTTTTGTACATTTTTAAGAAAATAAATATTCATAACAGAAGAGTAAAACAGCAGCGTCTGGTGCTTTCTGTGAGGTGAGTGTTGGGCTCTTTGCCTGGTTGGAAAGAAGTTTCTCCGTGGCTCCCCCGGGCGTCAGCAGAGCTGGCATTTCCTCTTGAAGTTACTTTGTCGTGCCCCACCCCAGGGTCCAATGAGAAGCGGCTAAGGATGTCAAGAGGCCTCAGGGTGACCGTGGCAGGCTCCCCGGGGCAGTTGTTCCCGGCCAGTCCCTCCGGGCAGGGCAGAGGACTCCTGTTCCTTTCTACCCTCCTCAGCCCAGGCTCACTCGCGCCCTTAATTCCCACGAACGCTTTCTGCTCCCTGGTTCATCCGAGCCAGCCTCTACCTACAGACTAGAACCACCTGGCTCTGACTCCAGTTTTATCACAACAATCTTGCCCCAGAACCCACAGGCTCCCTTGTATCTGTCGCTCAGGTGTGAACCCCTTGATGTGCTGTCCCAGTGTGGGGGTTCCCCCCCCCAGAGGGCTGCCCACCCTCCCTTAGCCACCGTCCACTGTCATCTCCCAAGGGCAGCTCTGTTCCAGATGAGTGGTGTCTCTATGTTCTTCCACACTCCTCTCTGTCTGTTCATGTCCACAGTTTTCAAATCTTGGCTAAAAACCTGCCCTCAAGAAGGCTCCCCTGACTGACTTCAACCCAGCAGCCTCTCCAGCGGCTTCCTGCGTGGGCCAGGGCCGGGAGTGGGGCTGGGAAGTGCTCATTGAGGAGCCTTCTGGAGAGATGTGGGGGTCCGCAGCAGTAGGAAAGGGGGTGGTCACTGTGTGGCTTCAGGTCCTCCAAGATGAAGCTGCCAAGACAGGATCGGGAGTCAGGAGATGTATCGAGGGGAAGTTATGTGGAGGACACAGGGAGAGCAGCAGGCAGGGTCAGTCTGCAGACTGAGGCCGGGGACGGAGGGGAGGAAGCGGAGTGGAGGAAGCACGATCGGGCGGGAAGGGCCTCAGACTGCAGTGCGGTTCCGAGAAAGTGCCAGCCAGGCCAGTGGGGAGGCCCCAGGCAAAGGTTGCCCACGGAGGCGTCCCACTTTGGGTAAGAAGGGCCAGTCTAACAGCCTGGCCATGTGCAGTCACTGACAAGGAGCCACCCAGGGAGAGCGCAGCCTCGGAGTGGCTCCAGAGGTGTGACAGCCGGTGCTCCTGACCCGCTCTGCTGCCGACAGCAGCTTCTCCTAAAGGAACATCTGAGCGGCTCAAGCCCCTTTGAAACAGAGACTTGTTCAGGCTCCACTCAACATTCCCTGAGTGAGTTCTCCGGACGATCACTTCGGTACAGTAACCCTCTGTCCCCAGGGGTCCCTCATTCCTACACTTCTCTGAGCTCCTCTAAATGGCATGTGGGGTAATTCTGGGGACTCAGGAATTCTACAATGGGGACCTCTGGTCAAGCAGAAGCAACAGAAGAGGGGGAAGGGGGTGGTGAAAAGGTAGCAAAGGCAAACAGCACCTGCTTGTTCCCTGGGAGGCAAACAGCCCTCAGGCACCGCTCAGGAAACAACCAGGTTCCTGTTCCCAGAGGCGTAAGCTGTGGCAGGAGTCACCAGCTGGGCGGGGAGCTCATCTCCTATTCCTTTGCTAATAACCTTCCTCACCCCACCCCAGCCCACCCCACCCCAATACATCCAAGACTATAGTGCTTGGTTTTGTGTTGGGTCACCATTCCACACCCAGTGTGAGCCCAGTGAAGTGATTAAATACTGGTATTGGAAAGATACATCTTGAGGGGCTGTCCATCTGTCTGTCTCCATGAGGATGGCATGCTGGTGACAGAGGTGAGTATTTAACAAGAGTTGGCAAGCCCAGCTGCCCCCATTTCTCTTAGAGAACTATTAAAATGTCAGCTACTTCCTGGAATAGTGCTAAGAAAAGAATTCATGAAATACCCTCCCTGAGGCCCTGGCTTCTCTGAGCTGCCCCAAGTGAGCTAGCTTTATGCTGTGGAAAGCTCTCAGAGTATTCATCGTTTGCACCCCCGGGGCGTCTGGGACCACGCATTGCACATTAATGCCCAGTGCGGCAAATGCCCAGGACCCAAGTCCCGGCCTTGTGGTCAGCATTCAACAGTAGAGAAACCTGCTTGAAATGAACGGATCATCTGATGATACCCTCAGCCTGAACATCTTTTCCCCGTGCAACAGTTTTCCTGTTTTAGGTGGATGCGACTGGTATTCTACTGACTTGGAAAATACAAGACTCAGTGGTTTTTCTCTTGTTCCTTCAGCCACATCAAACCCAGAAAATTTCAGGAGAGTGCTCTCTGCTGAGCATACTCCTGACAAAGACGAGAGGTGAGAAGCATCTCCAGTTCTCCCAAAGGCAGTTCTTGTGCTTCCCTCTCTACCTTGATGAAGAGAACACGGGACTCCTCCTCAGTGGGTGGGTACCCTCCGTGCCTGACCGGGCTGTGAGGGAGCTCAGCTAGGTTGGGGCATCAAGACAGTGCCCTGAAAATAGGAGCCTCAGGGTTAGAACTTTGCTAGAAATGACCAGGTTGCAGGTGTGCAGCCTCCTGCTCAGGTTGGAGGCCCCTAGCCACTTTCCCACCATCTGCCTTGGTGTTTGTCACTCATGCTCTGTACTCACGGCCAGCAAGGCCATCACCGGCCCATGGAGACCAGCCGTGTGCAGTAGGAAGACCCTCCCCAGGCCAGCTCAACCTCCACACCCGGCCTATTTGGCCCATGAAACACCCGTTGGAGCTGACATGCAAGTTGGCCACTCAGTAGCCGCTTTTTCTACATTAATGGCCTCCTGTGCTGAAGGCAGGGCTGGTTGACAGCAACAGAAACCAAACACCTTGATCTGAATTGGCTTTGAGGGTGTAGCTCTGCATCATGTCATCTTTTCCATTGACTCTGCCCGGGCTGAGAGGCTGAGAAGGTGGAGAAGAGGGCATTAATTTCCTCAGGCTTACCCAGGTCCCCCTGAAGGGGGATGCCTCAGTTTCTCTTTCCACTATGCCTCATGCTTGGACTTGGGTTTCGGAAAGAAGGGGAGGTGAGAAGAAAGTGAAGACCATGATGGGAGGGAGGGAAAAAGCCCATACGCAGCCCAAGGATGCTTCTGGACAGGGCTTTGGGCTCAGCAGCCTCTCCCGTCCTCCCCTGGGCCCTCCCCAAACCTGGGTTCCTCGTGTTTCTCTAGGGCAGAAACACCACCCAGGAGGAGGCCAGCGTCAGAACCTGGAGCCTCACTACGGCACAGAGTCAGCTGGGGCTACAGTTTAGGCATGAAAATCCCATGTTCCAGACGATCATATTAAACAATAAACATGCTTTAATGCCAGGCAAGAGCTACACAAAAGCAACTGATATAGTGGCCACTCTATATGATATGATTTATAAATACATATAGTATTAAATCCACTTGTGGCAAGTCCCCCCACGGCACCAATGGGATGGGACAGCGCCCTCAGCACCCCTTCCCCAAATGAGGTATGAACAGTCAAGCACTCCATAGAATCCTTCAGGTCGTAAGCCACTTTATTCCAGTCCCTTGGACATCACAGGCTGGCTTTATTTGGGTCAGAACATACCATTTCCAGAGGTCCCTGAACACAGAAATGACAACGAGCAGCCCAGCACAGGAGTGACCCAAACTTCTAGGCATTCCACCTCTGGGTGTCATGGAGTCCCTGGGCCGAACTTGAGTGCATTGGATTAGACATACGAGGGCCTTCCTGGAAAGGAGGAGGAGGAGAAAAACAACCCTCGAGAAGACACAGACAGGGTCAGCGGCAGGCCAGGACACCGGCTGTTTGCGTACATTCTGGGAGCGTCGGCATTCATTAGCCAAGCGTCTGGCTCTGTTTTCTACCTGAACAGCTGGAGACCTTCTCTGCTCCTCACTCCAGCTCTAGGTTCTAGAGAACAGAGTGGGTCTAGCTCAACAAGACGTCATGACCAAGGGCAGGGCCTAGGCAGGTTTCCCCGATCATTAACTGATTGCACCCATCAAAGGAGAACTAAGGGAGGAATGAGGTCTTCAATCCAGAGCAGGAGAAAGGGGGCTGCCACTCCTGAACACACCAACAGGGTTTGCTGGGCCTCTTTGCCCATTCTGTACTCCATGACTTAGGTTAATTCCCTATTTTTCAAAAACATTTTAGCACTCAGCCTCTGGAGGAATTTGGCAAGTCTTGGAACCGCTATGAGGAATTGACACTCAGAGGAAGACTGAGATTATGTTACCAAATCCAGGTTTCAGAATGTCATCCTACAAATTTGGTTCATTTTGGTCCACTCTACAAATTCGGATTTTTGCTACCAGATAGAACAGACTCCAGTCATATACAGGAACCTGGAGGTTAGAATGGACTCGGCGACATTTCCCTCATGGTTATGATGTTTATCTTTCTGTTCCTGTTCTACAGGAAGTGGCTTGGCAGCAGACAGACCCACTCGGGACCTCTCTGCCTTCCCTTGGGGCAGGTTCCCCATCAACATTGTTGAGCGTTTGGGCCACGTCATACCAACTGCTGGTGAGAGTGTGACTTGCCCGTGACCAGCAAGTTTTACTCTTAACCTGAAATTCAAATCCATCTATATATGAGGTCACCAGACCAAACAGCAACTCAAATGTGTGCTGTCACTTCTGGAAACAGAAATCTGCATTCAAGAAACAGTGATGGAAAATGTTTTAGGATTCTCCATAGCGGGCCTGGGAAACCACAGACCCGCTAGTCCATGTCTTCTTTACAATGAATTAGATCAACCCAATGTCTGACTCTTTGAAGGGCCACTGGGGGCATGTTAACGTAAATATTCCAGACGTGGTGCTCTAACCATACACATGGACTAAACCATTGGGAATGCCCAAGAATCGACACTATTTTTTTCAAGTCCACAGAAGATCAACCTGCTCAGAAAAGCACCAGGCCTCCAATCTGATGTTGTCAATGGGCTGCTGGGTGGGGTGGGCGAACCGCCCGCCTCGCCTCTCATAAAGGCCAACCCCCTGGCTCTCCACTTGCGCGTGTCCTGGCCACACTGCTCGTCGCCTGCTCTCCCAGCACTGCAACTCGGAAGGGCGTTCAAAATTAACACTGGGCCCTAGGCAGCGTTACTTTGTACTTTTATGGAATATATAAAATATACTTGTCGATTGGTACATTTGTGCAAAGGCAGATATGACTTTAAAACAAGACATAGACATTCATTATAGTTGGCTTACTTCACAATAAGCTACTAAAAACAGTCTCTGGAATAAGATTGTATTAGTGCTCACTAAACATGCATTTCATTTAAACAAGGCAAAACACTTAATTTGGTCTGCAATACCCAATATTTTATATACAGCAGTCTTCCTTTCTTTTTTTTTTTTTTTTTTAAATCACAATAGGCAACAAGATGGGTCTGGTTTTGGAATATGTTACCATTTGTATTTAATTTCCAAAGACACTCATATTAGCTCAACTAGTGTAAACCTGTGAAAAAATAGCTGAGCTATCGTTTTCCTCTCCTCTACTCATTTACCTCGAAATGTTCACAGCTTAGAAACTACAGCCTGCAGGGGAGGAGGGCGGAGTGGGCCCCATGGGGGAATGTCCCAGCTCCTGTTAACAGCCTCGCCCCAGAGGGTGACTTGTTCTTGGGGAATCCAGCCTCTGGTGCCGCCCACCACCCCCACGCATGTGCCACGGCAGGCCCAGGCAGGGAGTTCTGTCTTTCAAACGAAAGCCCCTCAAAGCTTACAGAGGAGTCACTGGGCCGGACGAGTTTCCCTTCTCTTGCCACCCCCACCACCCCGAGTCTTAGGTTTTAGAAGAGAGACATTAGAATCAAAAGAAAATAATAATAGTAACAATTAAAAATCGTCAAACAACGAACACCACGAAGTCTGTCCATGTTCCCCACAAGCACGCTGGGGCTCTGGGCATTCCCACGAAGCGTCCACGACAAAAGAAGCTGAAGGTGTCACGGAGGAAAGCGCATCTGACCGCACAGGGGACAGCATCACCATCAATATTGTTTGGCAAAAAAATTATTAAAAAGAAGAATCAAAAGGGAACACAAGCAGCTCTACACTTGGATCGGTGGGTGTGGGGCTCAGAACTGGCCGGCGCTGCTTGGGTCGCACTGCAGGAGGCGCACTATGGACGGGTCACTTTTGGCCCCTCGGATGAACTCTTCCAGGGAGAGTTTTCCTAGGAAGCAAGAGGACAGGTGAGTGGCGGCTGGTGGCAGTGGCGTGAGCTTACACCCTCCCACAGCACGTCGGTGACAGCGGCCACTCACCTGCCCACGGTCTCACAGCCGCTGTGACGCGCAGCACTCACCTGTGCCGTGGAGGAGCCCAGGTGACTCTCTTTCCAAGGTCAGACCCGTGAGGCAGGGACTCTGCCTTGTTCCCCATGGCACTGCCAGCCCAGGCACAGTGCACACAGCAACACAGCCCCACTTCCTAAGAGCACACTGTGTGCCCGGGGGCTGGGGAGAGGGTGGTGGATGACCCTGACTTGGTCCCTGTCCTCGTGGCTCTTCTAACTCCAGGCACCCTGGAGGGGCTCACTCAATATTTTGGGATGAGAGGCCCTAGTGCCTTTATGAGAATGAGCTGGGCCCTCCCAGCACCAAGGCCATGGCCACGGTGTTCCTGGGAGCCTGTGGGCCCCCTCAGGCCGCTTCAGTGCACTCAGGTTTGCTGCAGGAGCCCCTCACATCTGCGGGGAGCTGCCCTGACCTAAGCGTTCGTTCTTTTAGGCAACACGTGAGGACAGTGCACCTCCCTGCCTAGGTCAGGAGAATGAACGTAAGGGGGTGTGTGCGACTCACAGGGTGACCCCCTGGTTTCCGCCTACGCTGATGGCCTGGAGGAGGGAGACCCGGCAGCCTGGGTCCCACTCCTGCCCAGTGACCCTTTCCTTCAAGCTTGCATTCTCTTCCAGGAGGGCCCCTCTGTCACTGTGGTTGTGGAGAGGAGGGGGTGGTGGGGGAGGAGCTGGGGCCACAGAACTTTTTCCCATTCCTGGAGCTGATTCTTTGCCTACCCTGCCCCTGGGAGTGACACGGCTCACTTGACTGGTAAATCTGGGAGGAATTGCTGGGCACTTTGGCTCAGCTTTCCCTCCTTCCTCCCTGGAAAAGAGCTGCCCCAGAGAGGACTCCTTTCCCCCTGCTTCTCCAAGGATAGGCACTGGGCCTGCCCTGCCCTGCACGGCCTGCGGGTTCGTTAGCATGCCTTGGACCGCCACGCTCAGCCACGTCCTCCACGTAGCTCTATCCTTTGGCCTCAATTATTGCTCTTTTATTTCTCAATTTATTCCAAACCCAGACAGGAGGGGGGTTCTCCCACCAAAGATATCAACAAATATGACCTCCCCTCGACCATAACCCTTTCCCCCAGAACCTACTTCTTGTTTAATCAAACTCACTTTATCTACATGAAGAAGAAAGATAGGGATTTATGCATTAATTTATCTTTAATAAATATAGCTGGTCCCCTCGAGGTTTTGTGTTCTGACCATTTTTTACGAACTGTGCCCCACCCACGTAGTAGTTAAAATGGTGATGACCTCCTTAGGCTTCGCAAGGCACTCGTTAGGGAAAGGAGGCAGCAGCGGCCACCAAGCACCTTGGGATCTCTGTAAGAGAGGCTTCAGGAGGCGCCAGCTAGAGGTGGCAGAGCGAATCCGCCTTCAACGTGGCCCTCCAGCTTCAGGGCTGGGCTTGGCCTGTGGCCCCACGATTTTCTCTGCAAGCCAGGGGTTAGATGCCAAGAGCTTCAGGCAAGAGGAATCTAATGGCCAGAGATTCTATGTGAGGTCTGATCTGCTCCAGGCAGGGAGGGGACCAGGTGGCCTCAGCCCTGGGGCCCAGAAACCGAGCATTTAGCTGAAGCACCCAGTCTCCTGGTTGGGCTAAGATTCCCCTGACTGCTGTGGACTTACAGCCCCTCCTACTTCCTTCCATCTGCTGCTCTCCTTCCCTCCCCACCCTCTTTTTAAACACAAGCCTTTCCCTCACAGAAGCACAAGACTTTAGCAGTGAGCTGTGTTCCGGGAATCTAACCCAACTAGGGCTCTGCGATCCTATAGTAGCCGAGTCCCAGTGGAGAGACCCTACTTCATCGCCTGTGACCAACATAAGTTAGGTCTTTATCCTGCAGTGTCTTGATTTTCTTCCACCCTTTAGCTCAATTCTAAAGCGGTGTCTGGACCTAGAGCAGAGCACAGACCCACTATACTCCCTGGAGCAACAGCAAATCCTACAGCTTAATATCAGCAAGTTCGTTAGCTATTAAAATAATCCTGTGCTTGCTCAGTCTTTACAAACAATCAAATATAAGGGGCAATAAGATGTAACAGGATGTAATGGCACCTCTGTGGAGGAAACAAAGCAAACAGAAGGGCCTGCACTATGCAAACCCAGATTCTCAGGCAGCTGGTGCCCCAGGGTGGGGACAGAAAGAGAGAGAGGCTGACTCTGCTGCAGAGCCTTCTGTTGTTCCATAGATCAGCGCCAGGTAGGTGTGTGGGTGCTTTCGTGGACAGGAATTGCTGGGGACTCTGAGCAGAACAAGTGAGCTGGTAACAATAGCAAGAGCTATGGAGCCTGTTACGGACAAGGCCCTGAGCTTAGCACTTTAAACTCAGGTATTATATCTAAATAGGGTGGCCAGATTGCAAATAAAATACAGGACTTCCAGTTAACTTTGAATTTCAGATAAACAGTAAACAATTATTTAGTATAAGTACGTCTCAAATATTTCATGGGGTATACTTACATTAAAAAATCCCTTGTTTACCTGAAATTCAAAGATAATTGGGCCTTCTGTGTTCTATCTGGCAACTCAGTATCTAAAATCCTTCTGTTCCTGAGTTTGAAATCCAGCCCTCCTTTTCACTTTGTTGGGTTTGAATGGTGAGTGGCACCATCAGGGTGGGAGCCTCCTGGCCACCTCACTCCATTACCCCTTCTCGCTCCCTGGTCCTCCAGTGACTGAGTGAGCCCCATGTGTCTCTGGGAAACCCAACACCTTAGAGCATGCAAAAAAGACCCCAACAAGACCCCTTGGGCAGGCTGGGGTGAAAGCTGCTAGCATCTCCCATTCTGATTGGCCTGCAGGGACCCAGCCTGCCATGCTCTGGGCCTGTCCTGAGGACCGGTCTGTGCTAACTATGCTTTCTCAGGTCCTTCTATTCCTATTCCACAGACCCATCTTATTTTCTTGGGGGTAGAAGATAACCTAGAAGGAGGACAGAAGGGCCTAGAAATAAGGCATTTTTTCCCCTGGACTGGGATCAGCTCTCTAGGAACCACCTAGTCCTCTTTCTTCCCACCCAGCTGGGAGGCATGGAGGATGAGACAATCTCATAAAGGGTCTCCAGCCAGGTCCCTGAGGCTGAGATTTTGTCCTCGAGTGGCATTTCCCTTCCTGAGCTCCCCTGGCCCCTCCCGCAGCCACCACCTGACAAAGCGGAGAGCCTCCTACCGTCTCTATTGGTGTCCATCTGGCGGAAGATCTTCTCTGTCCTTTTCTCTGGGGTTGACTCATCTTCGGGCATTTTCATTACAGAGGAAACCATTTTATAGATTGCCTGGGGACAGAAGAAACATGGTGGTAAGAAAGAAACACCGGGTGGCACACAATAGTCCTATTGTTAAATTTCCCAAATGCAGGGGTGAGGGACTCTCCCCATCCACTCTGGCCCCCGTCTTGTCTCTGCCGAGTTGTTCGTGGACATGGAGGCTCAGTCCCTGGTGGGAGCCAGGCCAGCAAGCTTGCTCTCGTCCAGTGGGGACCCTCAAGAGTGACAAGCAGCAGGAAGACCCACTAGACCCGTATCTGTAATGTCAATGTGTGTGTGAATTCCCTGGGAATCTTGTTGCAATGCAGAATCTGATTGCGTAGGGCCGGGGCAGGGGTGGGGACTGAGATTCCGTGTTTTTAACAAGCTCCCATGTGATGCTGGTGCTGCTGTTCTGAAGACCCCACTTCGAGGAGCAAGGCTGTAGGTGACATTCCTCAGGCCAGGGAGACAAACAGATGTCTATTGTGGTCTCCACAAAGGCCCCTCAAGGATGATGCGCACGAAACAGTCTGTAAGTGGTGCCTGCGTCTTCCCCCAGGCAGACATCCCCGACCCATCCGGATGCTCTTCCCCCTGCAGGAGCCAGGGGGCTCACATTCCTTCTCTGCAAGCTCCCAAGTATCCCTGAGATGGAAACAACTTGCCATCCGAATTTTTGATTAAATATGCAATCTTGGGCCTGAGGTCAACTGGGTACAGCTGTGAAATCTCATGGGCAAGAAGGAGTTTTGCAAGCAGTCCTGAAACTGCCTGTGGCCTCTGCATGGAGGCCTCAGTTGTTGAAGGTAGTTTTTATTCGGGAAGAGAAATGTAAAGTCATTGCTTCCATCCCTAGATCATGACTTTACTAATCAAATTCACTTTGGTCACCTCAGCCCTGGCAAAAAGTTCTGGCAAAAGTAGGTTTTCCTAGGGGTGGGCAGACAATTCCAGAAATTTCTGGAGTTCTCGGGGTAGTGGGGCAGCTGGAGAGAGCAGAGAAAGGAAGGCAGCAGAGGGGAAGTGGCTTCCAAGTGGGAAATGTGGGAGCGAAGAGGGACACTGAAGATTCGACTTAGCCACTTGGCAATCTTGCTCAGTACCAGCCCTGCCCGAAGTGCTGAAAATATTCTGGATACAGGGGGTAAATATTCTAACCCCGTCAATCAAATAAGAGTGAACACTTGACTCACGCAGTATGCTGATCCTTGGGCTGATCCCGTCCCCTAGGGTCCCCTCTAACCAGGCTCCCCGAGTCTGTCTGGAGCTCACCCAAGCCCTTGCTGAACTCCAGAGCTGCCTCCACGGCCACGTGGTCTGAAGGAAGGTCAGGCTCAGGTATGGCCCTGCCTGGGATTACGGTGTCTCTGGGGTAAGCTTGGCTATAGTCACCTTCCCCAAGAAATGTTCACCTAGGTGTGGTCTGGAGGCAGAAGGTGAGCTGTCATCTGTCCTCCTGCCTGTGCACCCCTGCTTGCTGTCTCCTCCAGCCCAGGTCTATGCCACTTCCTGTGCTGCGGCCGTAGTGCCGTGTGCCAGGCTGCTGGGGACACCTAACTCCCTGGGGGAGCTAGGAAAGGCCATGGAGATAGAGCTCTTCTCACAGAAGGGCAAACAGAGGCTCAGAGGTTTAACAGGGCCAGGAGAATATTTAGTAACAGTAGAAAGCAGGATCTTTCCATGAGGTCTCCCAACCTCTCCGCGGCTTTCTTTGCTCCCATGATGGAAGGTTTTCTGTAACTCCTGACCTAGGCAAAATGGAATCTTGGCAGCGACGGATAAACAGCACAGGCACACCCCTCACACGCATCTCAAACACACACTCTAAGCCCAGGGACCTTAGGACAACAACAACACAGTATCTGGAAATGAGCATCCCACTGGGTCACCTTAGTGTGACCTCTGTAAAGGGGCAGAGTGGAGCCCTTGGGAGTTGCAGAGGTGTAGTGGGAGGAGCAGGGAGAGACAAGCGATACATTTATTTTTTGCCACTAGTCTTAAGGAGGCAGTGTAATTACTCATCTTCAACCTTCTCTGGGGCTGGAATGTTCCTTCCCTGAGTCTGGTCTGGCCTTAGTAGGGTTGTCTCACTTGGTGCTTCCAGGTGCCACCTGCTTTGTGTCTGCGACTGGCCAAAGGGGGCATCTCCTAATCTGTTGAACACATACCTTGGTTTCCTGGACCAGCGGCTTTGTTTACACTCTCCTCTCATCGGAGTGCTCACCTACCCCTCCTCTTTGAAAACTTCCCATGAGTTAGGGGCAGATTGAAATGTTACCCTCCTCCAGGAAGCCTTCCATGGTCTTCCCTCCTTCTATTGCTATGCACAATGGCTTAGCAAACAGCTCTGTGCTAGCAAATGGCTCCATCTCAGCCTCTCTTGGATCGCTTCATTCCACTCACTCTGAACTGCAGTTATGCAGGACGTTCTCCTTCTAGATGTGAGGTGGCAATCAGCTCTGGCTTTTCTGCAAAACCCTGCTAATGCCTAACACAGGGCCTCGTACACAGTCAACCTCTCCAAGAGAGTTCATTCAAGAATAACCACCACTACAAGTGCCTTCTCATATTGTTTCTCCTCTCTCACCTTTCTTCTGTTCTGCTTTTCTTTATAAAGTTCCCCCTTTAACCTTTTATATTTTTCTCGGTTTCTTTTTTTCCTCTCTCTCTTCATATGATTAAATACATTCACAGGAAACCCCTTAAAGATTCTTAATCTATCAAAAGCCGTGCACTCTCCCCTTAGAGACCACACAAACGCGCTGTGGATACCCACCCACCATTGCGGACAGTCTCAGGGGCTCCCGGACTCGCAAGCCCACCCAGGGACCCCAGGTTACGGAAACCTCTGTTCTTTCGGTTACTCCCACCCACGTTCTCACTAGTCATTCATTCACTCAGTCGCAAGTACTATCGCCAGGTATCATGACTGATCCAGTCCTTGTCCTCATGGAGTTTGCTGTTGAATGAGGCAGACAGACATCATTAAGATAATCAAAGAAACAAATGTAAAACCACTGTTGAGGAAAATGCTACAAAGGAGGGTGTTTGGTCTTATGAGATGATATCATGGAGAATTGGACCTTGCCAGGAGGGTTAGGGTAGGCTTCGCTGAGGACTGATGATTTAGCAGATATGAAGAAAGCACAGAGCGAGGGCAACACTGTGTGGAGGCCCAGGGTTGGAGGCGTGCAAGGGCGCCGACATGGTGCAGGGACACGTGGCACAAGACGTGGCCCTAGAGCAGGTCGGGACAGCACATTGGGGCCTCACAGACCATGTCCAGGTGTCTGTATTTCTCCAGTGAGCAATAAAAAGATGGAAGTGACATTAAATTTGATTTACCTATTTATACTCACTTCCCAAAGTGAACTCTATTCCCCTATTTGCAGGCAATGGTGTTCAGAGAATGGAAAAATGGTCATTCGTAATTTATTTAATAATTATTTATTGTCTACTGTGTGCTAGGTGGTGGGGCACAATTATCAACAAGACTGATGCTGTCTCTTATTTTGTATCTCACTAATCCTCTAGTAAAGGACTTGGGAGGTACCATATTGGACATCAAAATCACCTCATTTTAGTGAGCACCATTTAGATGGGTACAGCCATTCCAGTAATGCCTTCATAGTCGTTATGAAAGCTCTCGCCTAGACTACCTCTAGGTCCTGGTGGCAAATAAAACCCTTTGGTCTGGAGCACTCCTTGGAACTGTCAGTCTCTAAGGTTTGGGCCCATGAAATTCTTCTTGAGATTCTGATGCAAAATCAACTGTGAGGCCATTCCCTTACCACGCTTGGTTGAAGAAATGAAAGCCCAAGCAAACACAGGAATGTGTGTGAGAGGAGGAGGTTCTCACACTCAATAGAGTCTTCCAGAGTTTTAGTCTTTAGCTCTTAGGCTAAAGGAGCGGGGTTGGTACACAGAAATGAGGATAGGTTAATATAATAACCAACCAACCACCTGTCATCTCCTCCCCAAAATGAGCAGAGTCCGAAGGCCCTGACATGAGTATATATGTGAACGGGGCTTCTGGAATGGGGCAGCAGGCATGATGTCTGAGTACACTGTGGGTTGAGGAGGAAGTGAGGTCTCCTTTAAGAGGCTCACATCCCATGAAAGATGGCTCTTTCATGACACTCAGATTACATTTGTTTAAATGTGCATTAACCCACTGATAGGGATTAGTGGATTATTTACAAAACCAGGTCTCTGGCATGTGTGGTACCATAGCAGAGAGCAAAGAGCTGAGGCGACTGTCCCCGTGGTCTCCAGGGTGAGTACGTGGATGATTGCCTTGCAAAGCCACATCTGGGGAATTGTCCGTCCCTTTGCTCCCTTCCCACGGCACTAACGACTGACAGCTGATTGTATTAGAACTTCACAATCTGTACTGCATGGCACAGAGAGGTAAAAGACACGACCCAGACAGCCTTCTGAAACAAATCACATCTTTTCTTAGCTCCAGTTCCCCCCACCTCTCAAAATTTAATGGGATAAAACTATGAAGAGACCAGGCTACTTCCCCACTTTATTTTTAGCAATGTCGAGAGGCCTAGCAGGGGTGTCCTGTTTTTGATTAAACTCGAAGAGCACTATTCTTGTCTCTGGGTAGATGCAGAGCTTTTGGGCACCCAGGCGGGCTTGGGATAGCTCCTCACTGTGGCCAGGGCTCCTACCAGCTTCCTCATGGCCTATATTTTTCTTTCTTTTTTCCTTTGAAGGAAAAACCTCTTGGAATGCCGGAAAGGAAGGACTCAGATCTGCACCGGCCAAGGTTGTGCGAGTAACGGAGGGCAGGCACAGCTCCAAGAGTTAATCTGCAACCTTTTCTCTGAAGGAAATTACACTGACTCTTCTCATCAGAAAATTTAGGGTCTTCTAACAGGAAGCCAGACATTGCAGGCTTTCTGATAGCAGACTAAGGGCAAAAGCAGTCAGGCAGTACTAGGTTGTTTTTAGGTGACAAAGAACAGCACCCTGCTTAGAAGGATATTATATGCCAGGAAAGGCGGGGGGGGGGGGCA